AAGCCTGGCGGAAGAGCTCCGTCTTACAGGCCCTGCGGAACTGTAAAAGGTCCCGCAGGGCCCTGATCTCCTCTGGGAGCTCATTCCACCAGGTAGGAGCCGCCACCGAAAAGGACCTGGCCCTTGTGGCAGCAAGCCTGGCCTCTTTAGGCCCCGGGGTCACTAGGCGGTGTTGTAACCCCGACCGAAGTGCTTGTGTGTGGGACTCATATTTATCTGCTACTTTGTCCATCTTTCCTCTCTCGATTAGAGGGGGTATTTGGCTGCCCTCGTCGAGCCTTTCCATTGGCTGCTCCCTTGAGCCTTTCCCCTCCCGACTCCCAGCTTCCATGCCTCGACATGCTCCTTTGCTGTGGCTTCTCCTCCCACCGAGTTCAAACACGCCCGTTGGTCTCCCCTACAGTTTAAAAAAGAGAGAACCGTTTCCCTGCTGTTCTCTCCTCTCCAGCCCTCGCCCTCTGGCTTCCTCATTCCCCACCACCACCCCTGGAATTCCCCTTCCTAAAACTGAAGAGGCTCTTCTCCTTTTCTGCATATCTGTGTTCGTCCTCTTCCTCCTCGGCCTCCCTGAGGCTGTGGGACCACCCTTTTCTGCGCAACTTCCTCTGCCTTTTAGGCTTCCGTGACCCCATGCATTGCTGCTTCTCCTTCTGTCGGTCATATTGCTCGTTCTTTCCCCCCCCCCCGCAAACGGAGGGGCTTTTCCCTTGGCCTTCTCCTTCCGGGACGGGCCTGTTCTCGATCTCCTGCTTACTCAGTCTCCCCCTGACGAAAAAGGCGGTGCCAAGTTGGGAGGGCTCAGGTGCGCACTAGAGCTGTGGCTCCCAAAATATGGAAAAAGAACTGTGGCAATTTAGCGCTTGGTAATATATTCATAAATCATAATATACAATAACAGAAAATAAGTAATGTATATAGTGAATGTAGACGGTGGTCTCCGGAATGGTGTGCCGTTTCGACAACAATCTCCTTCTGAACAGGGGTGTGTACAAAAACTGTCTTTCAACAATTCATTTCTCTTGGTGACGTATTGGAAATATACTGTTGATTCACTTCATCATGAGGCTATGCTTACAGCTGTGTTCTTCAATGGGCTATAATTGCTTATTTTCTGTTGTTGTATATTATGATTTATGAATATATTACCAAGCACTAAATTGTCACAGTTCTTTTTCCTTTTTTCATTGGTCTTATTACTGTGCCCATTCTTGTAACTATTCCCAAAATATGGGCCAGAGGACATCGGTGTGCCTGGAAGGATTCAGCCTCCATTTTTTAGACCTCCCCAGTTCTGTGTCCTTTGGAGCAAGGAGGCAGGGGCCCCTTGCTGTACTGACCTCTTCCTTCCCTCTCGCCCCTACAACGTCCGGTCCGTGTCTCTCTACCCTACCCCTGCCGGCAGACATGGGGAGAATCCCGAGAGCCATCGCGGTGGCCTCAAAAACACAATCCGATCCCCCGGCTGACTGCTGGGAGGGGGCATAATCCGAGCTACAGTGCAGCCACAAGGAGGCCGCTTTCCCCCCTCACGCAGGGAAGTGAGCAAGAAAATCTGCACGAAATTAAGTCATTAACTGGTCATGAAATCCCATTTCTTCCAGAAGTTATCCTTTTTAAATAATCTCAAAGACACCCACCTATCACCCACCTATTACCTTATTGTTTTCAGCTGCAAAAACGACTATAGCTTTCAATTGGAAAAGATCAGACCATCTTAATGTGCGTTCTTGGTACTCAAACCTTTGGAATCACTTATTAATGGATAAAATTTCTGATAGAATAGAATTTAAGGAATCCAAGTACAAATCAGACTCATTTTATGGTCGCTGGCATCCTATTTTGGAAAAATTGGAACAAGTTTTAGAAAATGTTAGTTCTTCACAACACACACATTATTACACATTCATTCGACAAAGTTGGGTATTGTAATCTTATTTTTACTATATATTTTGAGAAAGTATAAAACTTGAAACTTGAATCAACAGGTACATCACTATAAGTGCATTTGTAAAGCCTAACGTAGATGTTTAATTTGTTATCTATGAAGGTGGATTCGCAATTTGTAATTTTGTTGTTGTTGTTTGGTTTTTATAAATGATTGTATTACAAGTTATAAAAGAAATTTAAAAAAAGAAAAAAAAGAAAATCTGCACGTGCCTTTTAACGTACGAGGGGGAGGTGGTGCCCCCCCCCCCCGCCGCCGCTTGAATCCAGAAGAAAGAACCGCATGCCATGCATATCAAAAGCTTGGGAAGTCCTGGGCTGATCACGCCTTATTAAATAGGAGGCCATTGCCAAAGGTGAACCAGGTTTCAAACTGGCATTCAAATGAGGCTGTTCCCCTGGAATTTTTCAAAGTGCCCCCCGCCGTCACCGTTGAAATCAATAAGAATCTGAAACAGTATTGTGCGTTCTGGAGAAGCAGCCTTCCAGCTCACATGATCGTTCTGCTCTTTTGGCAGGTCAAAGCTACGTGACAAGCTGCTGGTGACCTTCAGTCCTCGTTAGCGGATGACACCCAATTCCCTATCCCAAAACATTTGAGGCGGAAAGCAAGAGAGAAACCGGAAGTTCAGGACCGCCGTCACTCTGTCTTCACGGCCAGCCCACCAAAGGAATGTTGCCTGTATCCATTGCTAACGTGTTGAAAGGTGGAGGTGGTAAATCATACATTTTCCGTCCCTTTGGGTCAATTCTTACCTTGCCGTGGTGGTCACTTCTGCAGGGTGGCTTCCCACACCAGTGGGGGAGTAACTGCGTCATCTGCCTGTCCCACTCAGTTGATCAAACATGCTCGTTCCTGTCAGTGTCCGTCCCACTCATCCGCTGACGCAGGTATGAACCCTTTGCCGTCCTGCAGGGCTTGGAACTGGGGGGGGGGGAGACAGGGGATCCTGCTTAAAGTCTCACATTCCTTTGGAGCTGCTCTCAGTGCCTTGGACATACAAGGCACCCGTAGGAACAGTCCCTTTCCCAGGTCCAAGGGGCGGAGGAGTCTTGGGCCCACGTGCTCCACCGTTTCCAGAGCCACGTCATGCACCTTAGAAGCACAGCGTTGCCCAGATGAGCTCCCGTTCTTTTCCCGATCTTGTAGTTGTGGGGAGGGGGAGCCGGGGGGTTGTCCCGGAACCTTTATGTCCCTTCTGAGTGCCTCCGAAAAATCGCCACAGCATCAGAAACGGCACACCATTCCTCGCATGCATGCACACAAAACACACCCATCCCTTGGGGGTTCTGCCCGGCGTGGATCTGTGGCGCCGTACAGAATTTGTGGATCCCTCATTCCTGGTTACAGATGGGATTGGGGTGGCGTGGGGGCCGGAAACCACGCCACAGTCCTCACGTAACCACGGTTCCTTTGGTTTCAGCCAGGCCCTGCGTTATTTTGGTGTCGCGGAAGTTGCAGCGGGCTGACTCCACAACACCTCCATGAGAAGGCAAGAAGCCCCGGGCCACGTGGGAGGAGCCACGTTGCACCCCTCCCAGCACACGGGAAAAGAACCCTAGCCTAGGCCCGGGGCTCCCCACGGGGTAAGGAGCACTGCTGCATCCGCTCCCCAGCTGGCTTAGACTAGGAGAGGAAGGGCAGAGCTTTCGAATACAGAGCCGTGGTTTCTGTGTGCAGGCCAGAGCAGCGCTGGGACAACGGATCAGATGATCCATTTTGATAAAACTCAGCTTCCCCCCCCCCCCTCGTGCTTTCACTTGAACTCAAAAAAAAGCAAGCTTCTATTTTGATGTACGGTGTCATCTGGTGTCTCTTTTCATAGCACTGAACACAAAACGTGTGCACATTGACTGTGTATTTTGTGTGTGTGTGTGTGTGTCTGGCTGTACAGCCTTTGTGGAAAACATGTAAGCAGAGCACATCTGCCAGTTATTTATCCTGTGAACTGTGTGTGCCTGTGTGTTTTATGTCCTTTGAACTTTTTTCAAAAGGGGGGAGAAGACTTTATTAATAAAGTGTGCCTCTTGAATCTCTCTCGTGTTGGATTCCTAGAGATGTTCCAGGGGAACCCAGTGGGTTTTATCCGTGCAAACGATGTGAGATGCCAGAATTGCCTGGAGAAATGCATTGCAGCCAGGCTCTTCTCAAAGGAGGACAGAAGGGCTCGTTGCCACACCTCTTTCGTGAGGTATGCTCACCCTGGTCATGTGACAGTGGCCGTTTGGAGGCAGTGTTAGATGCACACACACAGGCATCAATACAACCCTTTCAAGAGGCCTTTTTCCCCCACAGCCGACTTGTATCATCCCCATCGGGAGTTCAAGGCAAGAGACATTTAGTAGTGGTTTGCTATTGCCTGCCTCTGCATCAAAACCCTGGTATTCCTTGGAGGTCGCCCTTCCAAATAGTAAGCAGGACCGGCCCTGCTTAGCTTAGAGCCAGTTTGGTGTAGTGGTTAAGTGCATGGACTCTAATCTAGGAGAACCGGGTTTGATTCCCCACTCCTCCACTTGCAGCTGCTGGATGACCTTGGGCAAGCCATAGTTCTGCCAGAGCTGTCCTTGAAAAAGAGCAGTTCTTGAAAGAGTTCTCTCAGCCGCACCTACCTCACAGGGTGTCTGTTGTGGGGAGGGGAAGGGAAAGGAGTTTGTAAGCCGCTCTGAGACTCTGAGTGAAGGGTGGGGTATAAATCCAATCTGTTGTTGTTCTTCTTCTTCTGAGCGGTCAGGTTAGAACAGATAAAAGGAAGTCCTTCTTCACCCGAAGAGTGATTAACACATGGAATTCACTGCCACAGGAAGTGGTGGTGGCTACAAGCATGGATGGCTTCAAAAGGGAATTAGATAAGCATATGGAGCAGAGGTCCATCCGTGGCTATTAGCTACAACGTATAGATGGAGACTCTGGGGCAAGTGATGCTCTGTCTTCTTGGGGGGGGGGGTCAACAGTGGGAGGGCTTCTAATGTCCTGGCCCCACTGGTGGACCTCCTGATGGCACCTGGTGTTTTTGGCCACTGTGTGACATAGAGTGTTGGACTGGATGGGCCATTGGCCTGATCCAACATTGGCATCTCTTATGTTCTTATGTTCTGAAAGCTGACAGGATCGGGGTAACTTGGGTTTGAGAGGCTATTCCTCATTAAAAGGGGTTATTGAACCACAGTTGGGCATTTGTGTATCAAAACATAGTCTGGCCCTGTTCCTCTAGCACTGTGCATCTGCTGGCATTTCTATCCAAGCCAGCAAACGCAGTCTGGTCATCCCAAGCAGGTGGCAGATCACCACTGCCAGTTCGGCGAGCCAAGGAATCTCAGTCCCTGACGAAGAAGGAAAATGAGGTCTCCAACTGCCTGGCTGACGGGATGGCACGTTGCAAAGTTATAGAGCTGACACAGCAGGTATCGCTCTTTTGTGAAACCAGAGTCTGTCGCATACAATATCCTGAGAAAAGAGCAGTCATTTTGGATTCCATTCTGGTCATATGCAGGTAAGTTGGCGAGGGAGGGATACGATACAGGACTTGGGCTGGTGTGTTTTGCACATGCTAGATAGAAATCGTATTGCTAAATGTTCTCGGAATTAGATCATCGCTCTGGCTTACAAACAAGGAGCGTTTTTACTTTTCATCCGCATGCCCCTGAAAAAGAGCACGCAGTTGGGACAAAGACGTCTGGAAACCTGTGTCTCCTACGGACCCCCTTGCCGGAGAGCCAAAGCCAGCTTGCAGCTCCCTGGGGATCAGGCACTGGATGGCAAACGAGTTGATTGCCATGTATTAGACGGAATCACACCAATCTCTTCCACTTGTGGTAGTGCAAAGAGAGCCTTCCCCTGAGGAGGAGAGTCTTTTGTGTCCAGAAAAGGCTTCCTGTGCTGGAAGCAGGCGTCCCCACTTGATCCAGCCTAGCGTGGGGAACTTCACAAATGTCACACAAGTCCTCTCTTCATAAGGAAGCAGCTATCCCATCGAGGATGGCAACTGGCACTCTTAATATCATGGGGACAGCCAGTGAGATATGTTGTGGAGAAGACACCAGCAAGGGAGACCTCTTCCACCCTCTAGCTGTGACCTGCCCGCCATGTTTTATTCTTTGGCAGAAGCGCTCTGCAGCCCAGTACAGAAGACCCGTCTGTGTGTTGATTGGACATACAGGGAGGGAGGTGGGCACAAGAAGAAGAAGAGATTGGATTTATACCC